ACGGCTCAACAATACAGCCTCAGCTCTGCAGCCTCTGGCTTGGAGGAAGCAGGTAGGGGAAGGGTCTAGTACCCAGTGCCGAGATGCTCAACATCACTGATCATTAGGGAAGTGTACATCAAAAGAACAACGAGATACCACTTCGTACCCACTGGAATGGCTGGAAGGGAGGGAGGGAGGGAGGGAGGAAGGAAGGAAGGAAAGGATGAAGAGGGAGGGAAAAAAGAAAGGAGAGCACTCAGGGAGTTGAGAACTTTTTCTGATTTCGGTTAAAAAAAGCAGCTCATATATAGATTTCTGTTGGACTTTAAAGTAAATTAATTATAATCTCAAAAGAATTTTAATAATGATGGCCATAGTTACTAAGATTATTATCTCTGATTTGAACTGAATCAAATAATCCCTAAGACGGCATAGTTACCTCTGAATTTAAAGCCCTCAGATCATAATTCTCACAGTTTAAATATGTCATAACACTGTCTTATCCTTGCCACTACTCCGAGGAAGAGCTGATCCTTTTTTAAATTAAAAAGAAAAATTTTTTTTGAACACTTCTGTATTCATTTTCCATTGCTGCTATAATAAATTACCACAAACCAAGGAGCTTAAAACAACATGAAACTATTCTCTTACAATTCTGGAGGTCAAGTCCAAAATCGGTCCAACTGGGCAAAACTCTAGTATAGGCAGTGTCAATTCTTCTGGAAGCTCCAGAGGCTTGCCTATTTTCATTTTTAGAGGCTGCCAACATTCCCTGTCTCTTGGCCACATCACTTCAATCTCTGTGTGCATTGTCACATCACCCTCTCCTCTCAGATTCTGACCTCCTTGGCTCTCTTATAGGAACAGTCTTGGGTCCGCCTGAATAATCTAGGATAACCTCTTCATCTCAAGATCCTGAATTTAGTAACACCTGCAAAGTCCCTATTGCCATCTAAGGTACCATTCACAGACGCTGGAGACTTTAGGCCATGAGCATATTTGGGAGTGATGAGACAAAGAAGCCTGATTTCTGTCATTACAGTGACACAAAGACCTGAAAACCATACTGCAAGTGTGTTGTCTCTGGTTTCATTACCTTCCCTTGCAGAAGAAAACCATGTGTGGATATAACATATATTTTCTTTTGTATTTCCAGCTCTAGGAATTTCATTTTTTCACCGTCTGGTTTCTTAGTCTGCTCTTTCTAAAATGCTCCTACAATCTACTTTTTTATAGTAGTCATCATTATTTTTTTTATGAAAATTAAGATCCTTTCCTGTCATTTTGATTCCAGCTGCATCTTCCCGAGGCATTGAAAATTGGTGTGTGTGTGTGTGTGCATCTAATGAGAAGTTTTGTAAAATGTAAAAAGCTAAACATATATACACTACTTTCTTTGAGTCCTCTAATTTTTATCTGCTTTTACTTTGCATATGTAGACCAGTCTCTAGGCCTATAAATGAACATGACCGACTTTTATATCATTTCCTTTATTTCCAACACATTGAATATGCAAGACTGGCACTAAATGAAGCCTAATCATACTTCTTTATTTGGTGCAACTTGACTCAGGCAGATGTATCAACGTGATACCCTTACAGCTTCTATCTTACTTGATTGCACCTTTGGAAGAGCATAAAACTGTGCAGCATTTCTTTTTTAACGTTTCTGGGTTTTTCTCTCACGAGACCTGTTATGGTCTGAATGTTTGTGTCCCCCCCAAAATTTATACTTTGAAAATCTAATGCCCAAAGTGATGGGATTAGGAGGTAGGAGGTGGGGCCTTTGAGAGGTGATTAGATCATGATGGTGGAGCCCTTGTGAATGGGATCAGTGTCTTCATAAAAGAGGCCGCACAGGGTTTCCTAGCCGCTCTGCCATGTGAGGGTACAACCAGAAGTCTGTGACTTGGAAGAGGGCATTCATCTGCCCACACTGGCACCGTGGTTTCTGACCTCCAGCCTCTAGAACTAGGAGAAATAAATTTCTGTTGTTTATAAGCTACTCAATATGTGATATTTTGTTATAGAAGGTTGAACAGACCAACACAAGACCATTAGTTTAAAAATATAGCATGGAAATCAATAAGAGTTTGATACTTTACATTCATTCATCTTTTCAAAATGTCCTCTCAAATCCAAGATTATTTGGAATTGAGCTTTTCCTTCCCTTTCCTCTCTCTACTGTTGGATTCTTCTCAATCATCCAGTGAAAGTATGTTTCGCACTGGCATTTAGAATGTATCAGGTAATATTAAGTTGCTTTCAATTAGAAGCTCTAGAATCTTATAAGAAAATTTCTATCTTTTAAAATATGTTTGTCTTTTTCAAATAAGAAAGATTCACATTTTCAGGAGCAAGATTATGCTGCAGAGTCAAAGTTGCATCTTTCTTTACATAATTTCATCTACTGACAATAAAGAACATGAGAAATTACTGGAACTATTTATTTAGAAGTGATAAAAATTTATCTGTGCTACTGTACCTTCTTATCCTTGGCTAACATCTGTGACAAGTGTAATGTTATACTTGGCTCATTTTGTTGGGCCACAGAGGGCCGTGTGTTCATCCATGCAGGGCTCTGTACGTTGTCCATATGAGTCCTGTGGTAGGTGCTGATGATAATCTGTACCTAGGAACAGCATGTGCTTTGTTCTAAGCACTGCATCAGAGGCAAGTGAGATACAGCCAAAATAAGGCAAACTCTTTCTTGCAAAGAGTTTGTAATAGGGACGCGCAGTGTGCACATCGAGAAAGTCTCAACAAAATTTAAAGCAGGTTGAAGGTGAGAGCAGATAAAGGGGCACTCGTACAAATAAGGGCCAAGAAGAGCTTACATAGCACATAGAATATCAGCAAAAGAAATGTGAGGTCATGTGGCATATCTCCCTGCTACCTCGCAGTCCTCAATGCAAAATGTATTAATATAATGTAAATAAATGCCTACCTTTTTCAGGGGTGTATTTCTTTACCTTCAGCATGATGAAGCACGAGGATGTCGAGGAAGTGTATGTGTACCTCATGCACAATGGCAATACAGTCTTCAGCATGTACAGGTGGGTGGCCTTTTCTAATACAGGTGACATCCATGCCACCATTGTTGGCTCAAAGGATGGCCAATATCAGGGGAGTAGATAGAAATCACCAGAGGCTGACGTGGACCCTGTTATCACCGAGAGCTTCCAAACACCAATGTATGGCCAGATTATAATCACTAATTGAGAAGAAATCAACCCGGTGAACTTAGCGTAAACAGGTTGAGGCCTTGAGCCACTTATTAGCAACACTCCCCATAACTAATCCTTCATATTCTTTTCTTAAAGCATTATTTCTTCTTTCTCAGCCTTTTCTTCCACTTTCCTACTCTCCCGCCCCCTTTGCCTAGGTTTTAGCCCTGTCGATAGTCTCTAGCACCCTTGTGGGCTGGTGGGTTAGAGTTGGGAACAGGTCCCTCTCTTTTGGCTGTGCTGCTGCTCTGATACTTATCCTAGCAGCTTGGCACCACATTTCTTTATTTTAAAAAGAAATCTTTTGACATTCTCTGATGGAAGCTTAGAATGTGGGAGACAGACAGAGAACCACCATCTTTCCCCTAATTAAATGGATGGTAAGTTATCTGTGAATGACTTTGTGGCTGTCATCTTCTCCCTGTTATTTCTAATGGCCTGTAAGGATCACCATATGTTTTCCTGGAGCCTGGCCTCCAGTGGGAGCATGTATGTGAAACGAGTTAGGTAGGTGAAGCTGTTGCAACAAAGACACCTAGAATATAGTGACTCAAACACCTGGAACTCTATTACTCTTGACCTGTCCCAACTTGAGGAAGGTATGAGACAAGAAGGGCAAAGGGGGAGATTGCGAAGATGTTGAAAGGAGAGGGAGGAGCTCCGCCCGGTTTTCGAAAACAGTCTGGTGAAAGCCGTTCTGTGTCATGGGGGTGCATGTATCTTTTCGACCTAGTATTTTTATTTTCTTTTATTAAATACCCAGAAGTAGAAATGCTCGATCATATGTTAGTTCTATTTTTAATTTTTTGAGGACTCTCCGTACTGTTTTTCATATTGGCTGTGCCAGTTTACATTCATACCAATAGTACACAAGTGTCCTCTTTTTTCCCCGTTCTTGACAAATTTTGTTATTTCTTGTCTTTTTGATAATGGCCATTCTAACATGTGTGAGGTGATATCTCATTGTGGTTTTAATTTTTATTTCCCTGATGATTAATTATGTTGAGCATTTTTTTATATACCTGTTGGCCATCTGTATGTCTTCTTTAGAAAAATGTCCATTCAAATTCTGTCCATTTTTTAATCGGATTGGTTTGTTGTTGTTGTTGTTGTTTGCTGTTAAGTTGTATGAATTTTTAAAAATGTATTTTGGATATTAACCCTTTATCAGATGCATAATTTGCAAATATTTTCTCCCATTCAGTAGGTTGCCTTTTCATTTTGTTCATGGTTTCCTCTGCTGTGCAGAAACTTTTTAGTTCGATGTAGTCTCATTAGTTTATTTCTGCTTTTGTTGCCTTTGCTTTTGGTGTAAAATTCAAATAGATATTGCCAAGACTGATGTCAAGGATCTTACCACCTATATTTTCCTCTATGAGTTTTATGGTTTCAGGTGTAGTAAATATATTTTTGGCTTACAGTATTTCAATTTATGGTGGGTTTATTTGGATATAGTTTCATCATAAATCAAGGAGCATCTGTATTTTAGTTTGGGTTATGACAACACCCTCCTTTAGTACCAAACTCCAAATTATTTAGGGTAGACTAAACCACTGTAACATTGGCCTAACATAATGGCTTGAACGTAGTAGAAATTCCTTTTCTTCTCATTGAGCAGTCCAGAGTGGTTGTTCAGGTTGAGGTAGACAAGAGAGAGCTTTCTTCTACATAGTCTACAAGAAGTCTTCAGCCTTCAACATATAACTTCCAAGGTCATTCTTGTCATTGCCATTAGCATCCCATACGATCATAATGAGGAAAGATCAAGGAGAGTTGTATTGGCCAATCCTATAAATGGCACATTATTTCTATTCATATGCCATTTAAAGAGCTTGATCACAGGACCCTACCTAAATGCACGAGAGTCTAGGCATGAAGGGGAGGACAGATTCTGGTAATGAACTGGCTGTCCACTGCAAAGGCTAAATAGTTTGTACCTTTTTTTCTCTCTAGCTATGAAACAAAAGGGAAATCAGATACATCCAGCAACCATGCAGTGCTGAAGCTGGCCAAAGGAGACGAAGTCTGGCTGAGAATGGGCAATGGCGCTCTTCATGGGGACCATCAGCGCTTCTCTACATTTGCGGGCTTCCTGCTCTTTGAAACTAAGTAAATATCTGAATAGATCTGATCCACTTTGGAAAGACTTGTAGCTGAGCTGGTATTGTTATGATCTGAGGCTCATTAGCGTTGAGGGTTCTACATGCTGTATTTTAAAAAAATTTTAATGGTTATATTGCTAATCATGCCACAGGTACAGTAATAATGTGCGATGACTCAGGGGCTCAGAAGAATAAACAAATTTTTCCCAAGTGACCTTGACCAATATACTAAGCACCTTTATCATTCTCTCAGCACCTAAAAGAGAATTCCTTTCTTGATACAGGTTGGGAATAATTGTTCCCATCAGAGAAGTCATTTACCAAGAGTTTTGTGGCTCTATTTTAAATTTAATAACAGCTTTCAGGAACCCTTGAGGTTTGGAGTTCATCATTAAAACTTTTCAGAGAATAGGATGTAGTGATTATGATGGGACCAGGGCAAGAACAAGGACACTTGCCAGGACAAAGGTACCAGAAACATTTGTAAAGCCTAGACTGGGAAGTAACACTTTGATCCAATGGGTCGATATTCATGAATAAAGTATAGACATTTTTTAGTAACTCCAGATAGCTTTTAGATAGCAAAAGCATTCACGATGTCCACAAATAATTGACTGCTTCTTCTTCTTTTTTTTTTTTATAAGGATACTGCTATAATTAAATCTTATCTTCAAATAGCTTGTATTTTTGGAAATAGAATATCTCCGGATCCAGAATTGGATTTACCAAACCTGGTTTATCAGGTTGACTCTTTGTCATTGCGTTTCTCAGGTTACAATAGATCTTTGTTCATGCGGACCTGCAGAATCAGCTGAAGTGAGTTTAGGTCCACATTATACAGATGTAATCACTTTCTTTTCTCTCAATTTAGAAATTACCCTAATAAACTACACATTGACAAGTCATGTTGAAGGAGCTGTAGACTCAGTTATATACACTCGAACTAACGGATACAAAATATAAGGGCCTTCCACTTAGGAGACATACAATAAAATCTCTTAACCATTTTTTTTAATAAAAATTATATGACTTCTTTGATTACCATATTTAATCAATATTCACACAAGAGCTGTGCCCCTTGACTTTTGCCTATCCCTCCCGCAAAGGATTAAAAGGATTAATCCATTCTCAAAGGATTAAATTAGTCACCAAAATGATATTCACGAGAATGCACCAGATACTATCTGAAGATAGTACCCAAAGATAGTACTGGAAGCATAGAAAATTAATTAGGGCTGCCCTATGAGCTAACTAGTGTGTTTCGTGATCAGTTCAGCCTTTGACCCTTTTCTTTAGATCTGTAAATATTTTAAAACTCTTCCTGAATCCATATGCAATGCTATTTAAAAGTGAATGGATATTACCTATAATGTGCTTGACGGTGAATGTTTTTGTGATTTCGTATAGGTCTCCCCCACCAACTCCCTACCCTGGAACTGTGGGGTCATGGGGTTGAAGTTTACTATTACCAAATGTCATAAATAGTCCGTAAAAATGCATTGCCAATAAATATTGGATGTTGCATGCTGTCCAAGGAATTCCATATCTAAAGAACATACAATACAAGTAAGTACCTAGAGGAAGATATTGGCCTGGCTTTAGATAAAATCGAGCCAAGAAAAACAAAATAACTATTATGTAAAAAATAAATATACCTTTGTTACGTATATGGTTTTATAATGTTCTTAATAAAGTCGAATAGTCATACAATTGGAAGTCACTACGATTTGTTAATACAAAGTTAAAATATTTTCATATACATGGTGTGAACATTCATACAATCCATTATGTGGGCACAGAGCAGGATAAGTTGTCCAAGAAAAACTCCACTTTTCAGTTATTCCATTGTTACAACTTCAACCCTCTGAGTTTTTAAGACTTTGATGTTTAGAGGATCCTTTAATGAAATCTGAGTATTTTGGAGGAGAGGGATCTTCTTCACAACCTGAAGTCTTTATGTTGATACCTAAATTCAAGTTTTCGCCTTAGTAGAGACACCCACGGTTTGGTCGCAGGCAGGTGGAAAGCACTGCTGGCTTGCAATTAAGTCCTAGGTGTGGAGAAGAGTGACCAGTAAGGAAGGTGGAAGAAGGCCAAGACAATTATCAGTGTTTCACAGTTTCACCCATGACCAGAATTAGATCTGGAAGACTGATTTTACGTCTTCCTAAAACCAGGATCTGCAAAAAGTGGTAATATGTCGATGTCATGTGAAATGTAAAGGTACAAGAAACCAACTTTTACATTCTAAAGCCCCCATGAAGGCAAACTCCACGAATGAAGCACATGGGTTTCTGCTTGCTGCAGAAATGCAATACGTACACTGTAGAATTGCTTCCTATAATGATCAAGTTGGGTAATTTTCCAGTGCAGAAAGGGCTACATTTGAACTTTGGACAACAAAGAGACTATATTAAAGGAATTCTATTGAGCATATTGTGAATAAAAGCTGAAGTCAAAAATATTCAAGCAGTGGATAGAATAATCAAATGTAAATTCCAAAGGATACGGCCGGAACTCATAAACATCTAGTTTGTGCGAAGATACTATGTTATTCCAAGAGCTACTCAGCATTTGCAGTTAAATTCTTAGCTTTCAGGAGTTTTTAACTTGACAAGAAAAAAATTCTGAGTTGGCCTAAATTGCATTATAGCAGGCAGCAGAGTGGGAAGTGAACAAGGGCAGTTAACCAGTTAACAGCCAGAGCTGAAACCAACAAAAGACTGCTCTCATTCCTGAATGTCTGTTGAAACTTTGAATCAACTCCCAAGCAGCTATCTAGAAAGAAAAGCTGTCCACCAGACGCCAAATCATCCTGTTTTCACGTGAACTTTCTGGACCGTTGCCCACAACCAACACAGAGGCACCCAATACGGACTATTCACCTATCCCAGAATATTCTGTGATTCACTTTTTCCTCCCCTCTTATCTAGAGCCAATGTAAATCCTTTCAAAGCAACTTATGTCTTTCTTCCCCAAACTCACTGTCCAAAAGAGGCCCCGTCAACTGCAAGACAGTGGATATGTTTGTCTTCTCCATCTAGCCCTGCCTCTGGTAATTCAGAATGTATGTTCCAGGACTGGGGCCTTTTCCTGGCCGACATATGCCTTGGCGAACCCCTTGTTTCAGAAAAACTTTCAGTCTCAAAGGTTTTTGTTTGACAAACCTAATGGAGAAAGATATGTAAAAAGGAGTAAGGGCATGGATGATATAAAGCAGAATGTTTTCATAGCTACAGAAAGCAAAGCCCTAGGGAGCTAGAGGAGAGAGAAACAACACCCAGCTCACAGCATGAAATGGCTATGGACAAGGCAGTGTTCCTGGCTAGAGACAATTTCCTGCTCAATTATGTTTGGGGTGTTAATTTTACAATATCTTTTTTCTTTTCTGGTTAGAAAAATGCTGTAGAAAATTTATAAAATCCATAAAAGCATTTAGTATAAAATTGCATTATCCCACCAGACATCATATTAGCATTTTGAAGTGTTTATTTCAGTCTTTTCCTGCATATCTTTATGACTTTTGTTTTTAAAAACATAGTAATGAAACAAATCATTTGAAAGTGTACTTTTTACATATTTTTATATCTTGCTATGGTTTGCCTTAACATAGTAAGGGCGCTCTGAAATCCTATTAAGGATTATTTAAAAATATAATTTTAATGGCTGCATAATTTATTTAACTTTTCCCATTTTGAGAGGTATTTTTGCCATTTTCAGTTTTGTTTTGTTTTGTTTTGTTTTGTTTTGTTTTCCAAAAACCTGGTCTCAACCCCAGGTTCTTGATACAAAGCTTCTAAATTCTTTTAAATAGGGGAGCTAGAAGAATCTTCTAACATTAGTCTTTGACTCCAGTTTCTAAAACTCTTGTGATTTCCTAAGCAATAAAAGCACTAGGAGCATCTTTCGTTCTAATATATGCTCTTTGACCCTAGTTCCTGATACAGAGTTCCTAAATCTCTTGGGATTTTTGGAGTAACAGTATTTTTTGTTTTAATGAGGTGACTCTTGGTGGGCTCTCAGATGGAGGCTGGTCACCAGAAAGACCAAGCCATGATTATAAGCCTGGAATTTTCAGTCTCCAGAAAGGGGAGAGAGGCTGGAAATGGAATCAATAATTAATCGTGCCTACATCATGAAGGTTCAGTAAAAATCCTGAAAGCTTGGGGTTTAGAGAGCTTCTGGGTTGGTAAACGTATCTACATGCTTGGAGGAGGTTATATCTCAACTCCATGGAGACAGAAGCTCCTGTGCTTGGAACCCACCTGAACTTCACCGTATCACCTTATGTATTTCTTTGCCTGGCTGTTCATCTGTGTCCTTCGTCATATCTTTTGTTATGTAATAATCTAGTAAACATATTTAAGTGTTTCCCTGAGTTCTGTGAGCTGTTGAGCAAGTAATTGAATGGGTCCCACCCAATATAATGGTAGGACAGAGACAGGATAACAAATATTGACAGTCTTACTTAAAAAGAAGGAAGTAGAAGCTCCATGACAATTCTAAAATCTAGTTGACCAGGTATTAGAAATTCCTTGACTAGTTTTAAAGGCCTGTAAACACTTCAGAATGTATCTTAGAGATATGAGATCAAAAAAAAAAAAAAATTATAATCACCATAACATTTACACAAAAACAAAAGAACAATTCCTTACTATCATCTAATATCTAGTCAATGATTTAAAATATCCCCAACTGTCTCATAAATATCTTTCGACGGTGTATTTGTTTAAATCGTGATTTAAAACAAGATTTATACATCACACTTGATCCATACATCTAACATTTAAGCTTTGAAATCTGCAATGATTTCTCATTTAATTAATTAATTAATTAACATTTCCTTTCCAACATGTGGATTTTGCCGATCGTATCTGTTGGTGTTATATAGCATATTCCTCCATCTCCCGTCTCATCTTCCTCTGTTCTGCGCATTTATCATAAACAGATAATTGCTTGATTAGATTTGGACTCAATCTCTTTGCAGGAAAACATTATAGGTGGTATTATCAATTGCATCATACCAAGAGGCCCATAATGTTTTATTGTCTCTTTTTTGTGATGTTAAAATTGATCAGTGGGTTCAGGGTATCTCAGTCAAATCCACATATTGTAATATTCCCTCCATTAGCTTTTTGCCTAATGTTTTTAGCAGCCATTGATGATTATAACTTAAATCCACTATTTCACTAGCAGTTGCAAATTAGTGACATTTTTAAAGACAGACATTCTTTCACTAGCTATTTGGTTATCCTGAAATACTGTTTGCATGGGAGACAAGATTAATGGTTTTTTTATTTTCACTTTTATTTATCAATTTTTAGAATAACGAGTTGGTGCCCTAGCAACTTCAAGAGGTGATTAATAAGATCTTTTAAAGATCAGTATTATTAACTCATCATTTTTCATGTATTCGATGTGTTTCAATCCACCTTAGTAATTCTAATTGAATGGTCTCATCTTACCTGTCAGTGAGCAGCTCTTTGAGATAGTACCTTCATCCTTTTCACTCAGACTGAGGCTGGTGCAACTCTCT